ATCCTACAATGCTTCTTTGATATTCTTGGGCTCAATGGATGATATGAAGGCTAAGTATGCAACTAGATTTCTAGTTCTGGATCTAGTTTGTATTCCAGAGTCAAGTGGAGAGATAAGATTGTCCAATGGATGTGAGGATTGATGTTTCCATCTGGACTTTCTGGTAATCTCTTCTTCTTTATCGACATCAGATTCACCTTCATCATCTTCTGGATTTTGAGACAATACCTTCTGTGCTGAACCAGAGGACCAGGTACTCCTGTGTGATCTGCACCATTTTCCTTTGCATCCTGATCATCCTGTTTTCTATTGATCAGCTCGTCGAGCTCATGATCTTCTTTGCGCTCATCCCCTTTTTCCGATTCATCAAATACTACATGTATGCTCTCTTCAACACATAGAGTTCTTTTGTTAAAAACCCTGTAAGCCTTACTTGTAGAAGAGTGCCCAACAAACACCCCTTCATCACTTTTGGCATCAAACTTGCCAAGGTCATCCTTTCCATTGTTTAGTACAAAGCATTTGCATCCAAATGGCTTGAGATGGGCAATTGAAGGGTTTCTGTCATTCAGCAATTCATAAGGTGTTTTCTTGATCACAAACCTGATAAGACACCTGTTTGTGACATAACATGTTGTATTGACTGCCTTTGCCCAGAAATTCATTGCAATCTCTAAATCAATCAACATAGTTCTAGCAATATCCACCAATGTTCTATTCTTTCTTTCAACAACTTCGTTTTGATGAGGAATTCTTAGTGCTTAGAAGTTATGATTGATTCAATTTTCACCACAAAATTCGTCAATTTGAGAGTTTTCAAACTCTGTGCCATGATTAGATTTGATGCTAGCAATCTTGCAGTTTACTTTCAGTTGAATAGCTTTGGCGAAAGTGATCAGAAGTCCTGCCGTCCCATCCTTAGTCTACAAAAACATATTCCATGTAAACCTGGAGAAGTCATCAACGACGACAATAATATATTTTTTACCTCCTCTGCTTTGAATTCTGATTGGTCCACATAGGTCCATGTGAAGAAGCTCCAGAGGTCTGGTTGTGCTGACTCCTTTCTTGGTTTTGAAATATTATCTTGTTTGTTTCCTTTTGCACAGGCATCACAGATTTTATCATTTGAAAACTTCAACTTTAGCAATCCACGGATCAGGTCCCATGCAACAAGTTTGTTCAACAAGGAAGTACTTACATGACCCAATATCGATGCCATAGTTTTGCATCATTAGTTTGAGCACTCAGACATGAAAGACTGTCCCCTTCAATAGAGTCAAGATCAACAACATACATATTTTTGACACTTGTGGCAGACATAACAACTCTTTTGGTTGCACAGTTTGTAACCAGACATTTATCAGACATGAACTTGACTTCATTTCCCTTGTCACAGATTTGAGATACACTTAAGAGATTATATTTCAAACCACCCACATAGTGTACATTGTCTATAGAATGATCAACAGATCTCCCTATCCTCTCAATACGAAGAATAGAACCCTTCTTTCCACCACCAAATGACACACCACCACCTTGGTGTGCTTTTAAAGAGAGGAAGTTTAGAGTGTCTCCAGTTATATGCCTTGAGCATCCACTATCCATATACCAGCACTGACTGCTTCCTCTCTTCTACACAAAAATCACTTATTAGACTTAGGAACCCACTTCAAATGGAGTTCCCAAAAACTGTCAAAAGGCTTAATGAGAAACCTTCATGTCCATGGGGGCAAAGTGTTCTTGATAAAATGGTAATGGGGACCAGGTACCTTTTTCGTTTTCTCACAATTTTTCTTCGATTTAATAAACTTCTTCTGCTTTTCTTCAGTCCTCTCAGTATCTCACACTTTTCTTTTAGATGACCATTTTTACCACAATGGGTACACAATAGGTTGTCAAAGACATACTTACTATGAGGATTGTAAAAAGGCTCTATCTGTCTACAACCTAATCCTTTTTTGTTGTTGAACTTTTGATTAGCTAAGTTAGAGAGTATTTTAGACGAATCAGTCCATTTGAGAGAGTGGTTCAAGTCTTCTTTGATCTTACCCAGATCCTTCACTAATTGAGAGTTCCTTTCCAGGGAGGCAACTAACTTAGACTCAGAGGTCTTAAGTTTCTCTTCTAGTTCAACCTCAAAGTTACTGAGTTTACGCTTCCCACCCTTAGAGGTACCAGGTTCCTCATTGGGTTCAAAACTACTGGTCTCAAGGGTGCCTATTCTAACACTCATTTCAGATATATGAGAGTTAAGATCTGAGTTTTCATCCTCACACAACCTCAACATTTCACTCATCATCAAATTTTCAGAAGTTAGTTCATCAACTGAGTCAATTAATAGAGCAACACGTTTTCTCAATCTATTAATGGAAATAGTGTTTAGATCATCCTTGAGATAAAAAAGGGTTACCTCATTCAAATCCTCCTCATCGTTCGATTTTTCGATTAGTGAAAAAATGGAGTTGTAGACAGTTTCATCATCTTCTACAGCCATCATCGAGACATCTTCTAGGCTATCTATTTCTTCCTCAGATTCGCTAGAGGTATTTCCCCATATAGCCAAAGCTTTTTTCACCAGATGATCAGTATGAGTTTTTCTCTTGGCATGGTCTAGGACCTGGTCCCTTCTGCGAGGTCTGAAGTCCTGAGTTTTCTGCTTCTGGCTGGGGAAATCTCTCATGAAGTGCCAGATTTGCCACATTTATGACAAATATCATTTGCATTTGATGTTCTGCTGGTCGAAGCCTTCTTTTGAAATCCTCCATGTTTTTTGATGGTCTTCTGAAACCTTCTAATGACATATGTCATTTCATCCTCCTCTTCATTTACCTCAGGTTGAGATGCTTTCAGTGCTACTGATTTCTCCCTTTTTCCCTCCTTCATGCTTGCTCATTGTTTCTTGTTCACCTTGTAGGTCTGGAGATTTTCGATCAGCTCATCTATGGCAAATGTCTTAAGATCTTTTGCTTCTGTTATAGCATCAACTTTACTTTCCCATGACTTTGGGAAGCACCCTGAGAATCTTGCGAACTTGCTTGCTTAAGGGAATAGGCTTACCTAGGCACCTTAGTTCGTTGGTGATGAAAGTGAATATTGAGTTCATTTCGAAGATAGTTTCACCTTCCTTCATACAGAAGTTCTCGTATTGAGTCGTAAGCATATCGACCTTAGACTCCTTTAATCGTTGTGTTCCCTCATGGGCTGTTTGGAGACAATCCCATATCTCTTTGGCTGATTCACAGGCAGAAATTTTGTTGTACTCATCTGATCTGATTCCACACACTAGAATCTTCTTTGCTTTATAGTTTTTCTCAATCTTTTTCCTGTCCATCTCATTGTACTCCTTTCCTTTCCAGTTTTAACAATTGTTGTAGTGAGTTCACCGTCTTTCACTTCCTTAGTGGGAATGTATGGTCCATCTAGGATTACATCCCACAACTTAGTGTCTTCAGAATTGATGTAGTCATGCATACGATTCTTCCACCACCTATAGTACTGTCCATTGAAACGGGGTTGTCTGGTAGAAGAGTGACCTTCCTCCATGTTGGGTGGAGCAATTATTCCTTCAAGATTTTTTTTTTCTTGGTGTTACCCAAACTGAAAAGTCAAGCTTTGATACCACTTGTTGGAATGTATGCGTCCACTTAGCTCTGATGGGACTAGGTCCTCAACACAATTTATAATGATAACAATAGATAAATATTGAATGTAAATAAATGCTGAAAGTAAAGATTGTACACACAACTTTACGTGGAAACCTCTTTGCTCAAGGGAGTAAAATCACGACATGTCTAACAGGAAATTTTGAACTGCATTCACTAATCTTCTCCAAGCAAAAGTAAAATACAGTTTACAACTTGAATTAACCTTCTAATCTCCAAGCTAAGTAATAACACCTATTACTTAAACGAGCCTAAGAAAATACGCCCATTATACTAATCCAGACTGATTAATATAAATTTTTGGTGTAAGACACCAAGTTACTCACAACCAAGTTCTTACAATGATTCACACAAGCTTGAAACAATTTTAACACAAACGAAACGATTCCTACAATATAAGCACGATTACAAGCAATTCAAATAACAGCTGGTACAAGAAACAATGAAGCACTCTATCAGGTCCCTTTTGTTTTGAAGCTTGAAACTCTCTCTTTTTGAATGAATGAATAATCTTGTTGTTTGTATTTGAATATATTAGTCATGAAAAATTATTATCCAACGTACAAACAACCTCGTCGCTTCTGATTGGTGTAGTACACTGCAACTCCACCAACTTTCTGACGCAGACAGCTTGTCCAGTTGTACAACATATGACATTGGACGAGCATACTCTGCAGAGGACCAGGTCCCTGCACTTGTGAGGAGATCATCAAAACATCTGGGAGCATTAGCACTTATCAAATAAAAATATTTTATACTCATGTGAAATTACCCATCAATTTGAAGATTCATATTTAGTTAACATTTATCACCTAGGTAAAAGCGAAATATATTTGATCAATTTTCCAATTATTGTGTAATTTTAAGAAATTCGAAAGAATCGATTGAAGTTGAAATCGAAAAAATCAATTTCATCTTAGTTTATTTTGGTTTATAAATTTAATAAATCGACATATTAGGTTAAATTACTTTTAATGAAAAACCAAATCAATCCAAGCTATGGTTTTACAAAGAATATACCGTTATAGTGAATTTTATTGTTTTTATAGGTAGAATATTATTATACAAAAGTAAATAAACATAAAAAAAATTACTTTTTGAAGAAAATTAGTCCGTTATAAAGAAATATCGTTATAAAGAAAAACAGATTTAACAATGCTTAAATTAAGATTAATTGAAAAATAAATAAAGATAAATTTAATTAAGTGAGCTAAAATAAATAAATAAATAAATATGACATGCAAAATGGACACGTGGAAGTAGTATAATGTTTTTGTTCTTACTTATATAAACACCAAAATTAATTTCAGTTACTTCACTCTCCTTGCTCTTTCCGTCAAGTGTGAAATCCACTGAGCTAAGCTACCTCGTCAATTTCTTCTGCTCTCACTCTCACCAATTCAATCCACATTTTTCATACACGTGTTGCTGTGGAGACGGAATTTCAGTATGGACGGAGGTGATGCTACTAAAACAGTCAAAGATGATTCCGGCAACATCGCCGGCGGTGGTGAAACGGTCACCATCAACATCCGATGTGTCAACGAGTCCAAATTATCTGTTCAAGTCAGCCTCAATTCCACTGTCGGATCATTCAAGTCCATCCTTTCCCAGTCGGCTGATATCCCTGCTGAGCAGCAGAGAGTGATCTATAATGGCCAAATCTTAAAGGATGATCAAACCCTAAAAAGCTATGGTATTAATTAATTACTCTTATCTAAATATTTTTGTAACATTTTTCTGCTTTATTACTAATGCTGAATTAGTTGTGTTACTTAAATGTACTTTTTATTACTCATGTTGCTGATCAATCAATCAATCAAATTTATGTACCTCAATTACAAACTTGTTAGGGTTTGTGATATAAATGTTGTAAACATTGTTCTTTATTTGGTGAATTTGTTGATGAAAAATAATTTTTTATTTAAAAGAATATTTGTATTTGACGTGAGCCCATTCGCTCCATCTTTGGTAGGCGATTACGTTGACAAGGTATTCCTTACTTTCTCGATTTAGAAGTGCAAATTTAACCTCTGTGTTTGTGTTCTTTCCAGAATAGATGGAAATAATTGATAAGTTATGTGTTAATGAATTAGGATTAAATTTCAATTCTAATAGATTTAAAGTCTTGCTTATTCGTTGCAGTATACTCCCTAATCTGGTATGTTTTGTCTTGGGACAAGAAATAGGTAAAGGTCAATAAGTGGAAAAAAGTACTATAGAGGAATGATGCAGTGGTATTGGGGTTTCTTGGACTTTTTATTAGAGTATGAAGCTGTGTACCTGGATCTGCAATAGCAGGGAATCTGCATTTTTGTTGCAGTTCAGTTTCCATTTTACTAAGTTCATTTGATTTAGCATGGATTCTCTTGTCTTTAACATGATGCTACTTAATGCCAATTATGTTGATCTGATTCATGATTGGTTACTTATAACCACATAACATTCTGGATTGAACTTTGGAATCTTATACTATCAAGATACATAGAGCTTCTATTTTATCTGCTCTCTTGTTGCGTGTTATCAGGCTGTCAGAATAAGAATCTTAGCAATTTGACTTTAATTTTTGTGGCAAGCAGGTCTGGAGGCAGACCACACAGTTCATCTTGTTCGAGGTTTTGCCGCAGCTGCTTCTGCTAGTGCAACCAATGTTGTAAATCCAAATGCTAATCAGGATGCTCCCAGGGTTGCTGTTCCCACTACAAGGGGGCTGTTTGTCAGAGCCGGTGGAGCTCCACTCTTTTCTGGACTTGGAAGTAGAGGTGGTTTGTTTGGAGCTGGACTTCCAGATTTTGAGCAGGTCCAGCAACAGCTAACTCAAAACTCCAACATGATGAGAGAGATGATGAATATGCCTCTAGTTCAGAATCTAATGAATAACCCAGAAATCATCTGCAACTTGATCATGAACAATCCTCAAATGCGAGAGTTCATGAATCCTAATCCCGAGCTCGCGTACATATTCAATGACCCTGCTATATTGGAGGCTGCACGTAACCCTGAACTCATGCATGAGATGATAAATAATATTGACTGGGCATTGAGCAGCATTGAATCGCCTCCTGATGAATTTAACATGCACATGTATGAGAATATCCAAGAGCCATTTTTGATTGCAACAACCATGGCTGGAGATACAAGAAATGATTCAGGGACAAACTCGTCCGTGGCTCTTTGGGGAGCCCAGGAACAAGGCAGAAACCAGTCAACTAACCCTCCAGCTACTGGTTCTGACACAACTGCTAATCCTCCTGCTCCAAACTCGAACCCACTTTCGAATTCTTGGGCAGCAGCTGACAGTAAGTTTCTACCAATTTCGTGGCTCTAACTGTATTTGCTGCTAGATTTAACCTTGTTACTTCATCTCCTATCTTGTTCACCAGGGTCTTTTGCATATTAAAAGAAACTTTTTATCTCTTTCCTATTTGTCTTTCTGGAGATGCTTTCATGCATCTTCACTGCTGAGGGTGCCATGAAGTCGTCATACTCATGCAATTTGTGCTTAGAACTTGAACATTTGAACACCTGTTCTCTATAGCTACTTTTTTTCTTTGTTTTTCTCTGGTAAAAATATTTCAAAGTATAGCATAATTTTGTCAGGATTTATTAAAAACAATTTTATACTTTTATCTATATCAAAAACTATTTTTTTTTATTTAATGTGAAGAATCTAATTATGTAATATTATTAGGTTCCTTTGGCTAATCAGAAGCTAATGTCTTATGTATGTAGCATTCATTATCTTG